TTAATCACAAGTACTTGATCCATCTTCCACAATCATTTCAAGAATATCAATAACAGCCGTAAATATGCTAGCCAAGCTAACCAAAGAATTATAATGGGATCCCAAATGAGTATCACCTGAACCCTGAATAGTGATTTCTTGATTAAGGCCCCGTCCACTTAAAATATAACCATTCTTCAAGGCCTCAACAATAAAATGTGATTGTTTTTTCTCGAAAAAGATTACAACATTTAAACGATAATCCAACATTATTTACTACGTATGCAACCACACAAAAAAAAAAAATTAATAATCGACAATTTTTTTAATCACAACTACAAGAGCTAGTTGAAGTTGATGAACAAAACAATAATTGTAAAAGACACAAGGGTTCTCATTTAAAATGAGTGCTTTGAGACCTTTGAACTGACCTTGCATATTACTTGCTCATCATAACCTTGTTCCAATAAATTAGAAATGCTTAAGTTATATCTAGAAAATATATTATCAATAGCAGCTTTGAGTGAGACAATTGTGGTAGTGGACACATGTTCAAGACCTATGAAACGTTCATTTACAAGTCTATTTTTCACATAACGTAACACAACTAACATTTGCTCCTTTATCCACACATCACGAGATTCATCACCAAAGCTAGAAAATAATGAATCACCAACATCTTAGATAATAACATTTATCATTTCAGTAGCACAAGCAAGTACTATATCCTATTGTACCTTAGGGATGTTATTTGCAATTTTGAGGAGCACTTTCAAATGCCACAACCTTAACCTCGTGATTATGATCAGCCATAAATTGTAATTGGACTAGAAAGTTACTTCGATTCATAGAATTCTTAGTTTCATCATGTCCTCGAAATGAATGCCTTTGTCTCAACAAAACTCGAACACAATCAATTGATGCAATAAGAAGGACACGATATTCATTTCTCATTTGTTATGATTGCTTGGAGAAAACCGTTTGAATGTGTTGTTCTTGATTCATCAAAACTTCACACTTAATGCAAACTTGATTATGTGACCTATTATGCTTTCCAACATGAGTAATAAGCCTCTTTTTATCTTTCCAATACGTGAATCCTTTACCAACAAATGAGTCGCCTACACCTTGTTTCCCACTACTTGTTTTAAAAAGATAACAATAAAAGAAAAATGTGCCTCTTTTGCCACACTATACCCCAACCAATTATCATACTTGTTAGACTAAGAAGTATTAAATCGTCTAAATTCTTTTTCTCCAAATTGTCTTTTCTTAAATTCATGGGTAAACGGCTGACAAGGACCGTTTTGCATATATGCTCTTTGAACTTGATCTCTAATGTTAGAATTTTAATTCAAGATTGGAGTCTAATTCAGGATCGGTGAGAAGTTGTACAACATCAAAATCGTCTTGACGTCTCCTCATTAACATTTTTCGCAACTTCAAGAGTTTTTCTTTTATAAAATCTTTCTATGACTAACTGTAATAAATAAGAATTGGAATGTAAAAATAAACAAAATAAAAACACGATCAAATCCAATGGGAATTCAAATTGACAACATATGTTTTATTTCCTTGAACTTCAATTTTGTTATTCCTCCCGCAACAGTAGATGAATACCAATATATTGGATATCACTCTGAAGGTTTGAAGAACTACTTAAAATATGCATTGGATGTTGAAAGTAAAATAGAAAAATCAGCGAGATCAACTTGCTTGTTGTTGGCTTGAATAGAATTCACCTACCGAGTACCGATAAACGCTGCTAGGCCTGGTTAAGACTTGAGACCACCATTAGCATCAACAATCAACTAACTACGAAGCCCATATGAACAGTAATCAATTTATTAATAGGCATATAGTTGAACATAAACTAAGGGGATACAATCAAATGACGGAAAGATAGTGTACTCCAACATCCTTGAAAAGAAAAGAAGCAGAAAATGTAAAAAATAAATCGGTATACTAGGCTACCAGCATTAGCATTTGTTGCTCTTTCAGCCATTTCTTTAAATTACAAAACTGAATCAAACAAAATAAGGGGTAGAAGAAGAAGATTACAAAAAAATTTCCTATAATTACCTCCTTCAATTAATACCCACGGCTTCACTTCTTCTATTTCATCGATTTCATGAATTTGGGACCTTGTTGTTTTGGTGGAAATTGGGGATTTCAATTCAAAATTTTCAATTCTCTATGGGGAGTCAGGGACGTGCATGTTCAATGTTCAAACAGTTGGGATTCTTGGGAATTGGAATGGATTGGGCATCCTTCTATCTTACAATTGGCCAACTTTTTTTTTTGTTTGAAAGTTAAATTTAATAATTAGGCTGCCAGTGCAGGCAGATCCGGCCCTGATTGAAATAATTTGCAATGTTTTGAAAATCGTTCCGGTCATCGACCCGGAAAAGGTAAAGGTCAAATGTCAAAAGATTCAATCGAAATCGAACCAGATGCAATAAATACATACAAAAATAATAAAATACTATGAAAAAATAAAAATTTTATAAAAATTTTCATATTAATAATTCAAAGTAAATCTATTTTTGTTAATTAGATTCATTATCTTACAATTAGTCTCAATACTTCAAAAATTAAAAATCAATATGTTTACTTTGTTAAAATAAAATAGTTTAAACTTATAGAAAATAATATCTAACATTAATATATTAATAATCAAGTACAATTTAAGTTAAATTTGAAAATT